GCGCCGGCTAATCAACGAGGGGCCCGCGATAAGATAATGTGGAGAGAGGCGGGCGAGGTAAAGTCGTGAATTTTGATCGAGCGGATATCCATAATATACTTGAGGTTATTTTTCGTTTGTGCTCCTCATTCAAGCTCACGATGTGGATAAATACGCTACAACTTGGGTTATTATTATTATTATTTTTACAGGCCGCATTGTCTGCCGTGCCCTCTTTTATTCATACGTGAGATATATATACATGGGTGCAGGTACGTGCAGATGTCTTTTTTTTTTTTTTTTTCACATCAGGTGAGCAAAGCGTCCTCCTTGTTGGTTCAGCCTCGCGGGCGCATAATAAAACGCCGGGTTCAATGATAATTATAATCGACGACTCGCGAGGAATGCGAATACATGTGTGTACGCACCTATTCATTTTTATATATACATCTTTAAAATTACACGGTCGCGCGACGTATCGGACTTTTTTAATCTATAAAAATTTGGATTGGGGGGAGGACAAAAAAAAAAAAAAAAAAAAATAGAATTTCACGACGCGTACGTGTAAAAAATAAAACTCCGCGGCGATTAAACGCTAAAAAAGAGCGATGATGCGTCATACGCGCAGTTGTAAAGAAGTCTTCGACACACTGTATAAGTATTGTACGCGCTCAAGAATCGCAAATGAGAACGTGCGTATAAATATATAATGTATACACACGCGCGCCGCAGAGAGGCGTGTATAATATACGCCTTAGGAAGGCCCTCGCACCACCACATCATGCCGTTTTCCTCCTCGCACTGCTGGACTACAAACTTATATGTATATATGTATAATATACAGACAAACGCGCGAAACGGCCTTGCCACCAATACTCGGCTCTCGCGAGTCTACGACCTCAGCCGCTGCACCGGTTTCATGCGCTCCGTGTGTGCTTAGGGTGCAGCGCAACTACATATCGGTATATGTATGTATGTACCTATCGAGCGAGACGCGCGGTCGCCGCGAGAGATGACCGGCTCGATTAATCACCGCACCGGCTTTTCTTTTCTTTGCGTTATACAAGTGTTGCGCGGCTGATTGCTGCGTCTCTATGTGCCAGGGGCTTTGGGACATATTGAAAATGTATTGTCTAAGCGTACCTGTGTAAGTACTTCCGACGAGCTCGGACGGTCATGCGAGGTGATCATTTTTGTGATTTTACTTTCGTTTCACACGTGTTTTACGGTATAATTATAATTATTATAGTTGCTTTTGAGCGATGGAGCGCCGAAATAAATCGCAGTAGGAGAGAAACCTAATGCTCGGGCATTTGTATATAGGTACACTTCGGAGAAGCTCGAGGCCCTTACTACGGCATTTTAAGAAATAAGTCATCTCAACACACCAAGTGCCTCTTTCAACGTGACGATTGATGACGATGGCAGGATTCATTTGATCGGATGTGTGTATATATATAGAGAGTAAATCGAGAAACCACACAGCTCGAGCCACCGAGAGGTGCCACGTGTTGAATTACACCGGCTACATGTACCTACTTTCGTCGTGTGTGCACCCGATGCTATACTTAAGTACACGCCGTATCGTTTCTCTTGTCTCGGATCGGTTTTCGCTGTTTCTCGATATGCGTGTACCTGCTTAGAATAATACATGTATACATACCCACGGATTTCTGGTGAAAATCTGAAACTAATTCGGCACCCGCGGCACCGGTGTATTTATGTGTACCGTATTCCACTTTCACCCTGCAAGAGCCGATATCATGCATCTTTCATATAAATTCGCGAAAATTCTCCGGATCCTTTATTCGACACGTGCTTGCGTCAAACTTTCTTCGTTTCATATGTTACAATGAAATCCCAAAGTCACGAGGAGCGAGTTACACTCCAGTTAAGCTCTCGCCATCACATCGGTGATCGTCCTTAATTGACAGGTGGTGACTCCACCAACACCGCCGCAACGTCAAGTCGAAAAAGAGTAAAACGCTGGATTTGTAAGTATATATCCATCCATCTCGATGAGACTCAAAAGTTTTCGAATAGCAGTAAATCCCCGCGTATACACAGCCATAACTCAAGCCGACTGGCATTTCCATTTGACCCAGTTGAACGAATCCGCGAGTGTAGTACATGCAAACACGTAACGATGCACGTCTATATATTATATTATAAACATACACCACGCGAGATCGATTTATTTTTCATCTTCGATATTAGGTACATATATGAATACTCGTACAAACGCGCACGTGTCGGGTGCGTAAAACCGAGCGTAAAACTTACGCTGAGACGGACCATCATAGTATTGATGAAGCGACCTTAATTCCGTACGTGGGTATATGCTTGGGACACTATAGTCACGCCCGCGTTTGCAAAAACAATTTCGTCACGCGTCTCCCACCTACGTTAAAACGATCTAATTGTTGGAATTTAAATATATTCGCTCCACATTTTCCCGAGTCTAGGTCAAGCTCGTGCGGGCACCCACCCGCTGAAACTTATGCGCAACTCAATGACGGCCCCCACGCGACGCGAAATACATAGGTATAGAAAAAAAAAAAAAAATTTTTTTTAAATCATTATGCAATCAAGAAATTACTTTGAACCCACGTTGTATGGATGTACATGTGCAAACGTTTTGTGCACTAAAAGAAAAGCCACTATGTGTGTCTGAGTATGTAAACAGCATACAGTGTCGCCGTTACATGCTTGGTTCGTATACATATTGATATTCGTGACAGGAAGTAATACGAACATTCTTTTGGCGAAGGAAAAACGGGAGGAGATTCGTTGGTGTCGCGTGTATCGGAGCGATTAATCCACTATTCTGTGTTTTGCATTACCTTTTTTTGTTTTTTTGTTTTTTTTTCAGCGTCGCGTTCGCGAAAGTTTAACCATTTAAAGTTTGTATCGAGAGAGAGTTTTGTTGTTTTTTCAACAAAAAGAAGGTCAAACATAGATGTAGGTACAAGTGATTTGGGAGTAAAACCCCCTGAGCGTGCTAATACCGCACACGTACACTTTGGTGCAAGCGGGAATACAGATTAATAGCTTTTCCGGGATCGGACCAACATATTACATATATATTCATATACGGAGGTCCAGAAAACGAGAGACCGTACAGATGCACCGTGTACTGTAAGGCCCGTCTCTCGGCGCGCGTGAGCCCTTATTTAATCAGCCGTAATCGTGCATCAAAACCAACCCCCAAGCTCTTCTCACATATAATACACCTTCAGCGGTAAATTATGACGCACGTCAAATTTTGCAAAAAATATTCTCGCGCTTTATTGTACACACAACCTCGGGGGGGGGGGGGGGGGCCTCCACCTCCTGTAAAGATCGGCAAATTTATTTCTATGTCTCAATCGGCCTCGTGTGCGCGTGTGTGTGTATACGGGTAATAATGGACAATGGTATGGTAATTTCCGACGTTGTATTTTTCGCGCGGCTTAAGTACTCTCTCACGCCGTGAGCGCCGTGTGTACTTTATTACGACGAATGCAAAGATTGCAAAGTGGAAAAAATCGACGGGTAAGTATACGTATACGAGGTGCAGGTTCAGTATTGAGCTGCGCGATGAAAGTGTATGGGTATATGTATACATTACCATGGTAGTTCTTAAGGTTTGATTTCACTCTTGTTGTTTATGCATTACCACGTGCTGTGGCAAATCAGGGAGTTTTCTCGCGCTGGACTTGAAAAATACGTGTACGAGAGACGATTGCCAGTGACGGCGTGTTTTAGATGAAAAGTGTAAGTAACGCGCTGACCTACATCCACCACCTATGCATGATCGTCGTGGCTCGGTGCTTCGGGTCGAGAGCGGATTTGACAGGTGAGAAATTGTGATTCCTGTACCTATAATAAGCTACGTGCTGATTTTTTTTTTCTCGCTTAAAATTGTCTTTCGCGTTTCTCGAATTTTTTTGTTTAATCCAAAGATTTATTTAAGCACGGCTCGATTCATGTGCTGTATTGTCAAGCCTTGTTCTTTCAAGGCACGTACAATAGAGACGTTATTCTGACTGAGATTTAAAGTCAATGTGGTAATTTTTTTTTTTTTTTTTTTTTTTTTTTGTCTACACATGCAAGTGCTAATGGGCGAGGACAAAAACACTTTATTCACGTTAGCTGTGATTTTAAAAACACATATTTTGGCAGTTCACAATGTAATATCGAGCCTCTTGGAAAGTAATACTGGGCTTAGAAGAAAAGATAAAATCGATAAATTCAATGCAACACGAAATTATGATGGTACTATGATTTTGTTTCAGACAAAAAAAAGCTCAAGTATACTAGATCGTTGCTGTTGAATGTGTTTACTTTGTGATTTTGTCATACGTAAAAAAAAAAAAAAAAAAAAAAAAAAAAGGCGCCTGATACCGATCGCACGCCAAGTGTTCCGCAAAGCACACAATAATCGCGTCATTAAAGACGATCGGTGAAAGTTTAAGACTTTATTCATAATTATCCGCGCGCGCGCGCGCGCCTACCTGCCGGCCTTTGTTTTACAAAATCCAGGTCAAGCACCTATATAGGTGTAGCACATCGCAGGGGAAAAAATAAAAAATAAAATCAGGCCTATCCTGGTTGTTGTTAAGTCTAATCGAGCACACCATGATTGGCGTCCAAATAACGATACATCAGGGCTTTGATAATGTAACTATGGTTATAATTTTAATAAGGTAAAGAAACGAGTCACCAGGTTTCGCCATTTCCACAACAAACTAATAATAATCAAGTAGCGGGCAACGAAAATTTTCACTGCATTTCACTTCTGTCTTACTTCGACTGTATTTATATTTTTTGCTCCAACAGCGCGCCAATAAAATTCAAAATCCAGGCGCAATAAAAACTTTTACTTTCCCAACTTGCCGCGTGCGTCCACTGTATATTATACTCGTACAGACGACTTGTTTCTCCCTGAGAGATAGCAACTTTTTTTTTTTTTAGGAACGCGGTGGCGCGGCTCGTTTGTATACGCGAAATTTATACAAAAGAAGTGCTCCAAAACTCACCTTGACTTCGTGATAGCGCTCCTCGAGGTAGTAAGCGAGGCCCCGCGCCTCCTCGTATCTCGCCGCCAGCGCCATGTACTTGTCGTAGTGCCTCTTGAACAAAACGAACCTGCAACCGGAACATTTAAACGTATGGAGCGACCATAAGAATTTTTTCATTCCTCCCAAAAAATATGTATACATTTTAGAAAGCGAAAGTTGTACAAATGAGTGGGTAAAAATTGTCAAGTCCCCCTCTGGGGCATGTAATTCATGGTAATGCTCGCGTTGTGTTTTTGATGTAGTTCGTATATCAGTGTGTATGGAGAGGAAACTGGTTTGCGGCCGCGTTAATTTTACAACTTCGCATATACATTTATTTACGCACGCGAGTCTGGGCGCACCACACGCACTTTATACGGATAGGTACGCGCGTGCGGTTTGCGAGTTGAAAAGTTAAATAGAATTTACGCGTCGTAGGAGGCTCTCTAAGGAGCCGTGTGTTTTAATTCATAAATGATACAAGTCGTAAAGAGGTGCCCGATCGCAGAAAAATAATTTACAGTAGGTGTTGCTCTTTTTGAAATTACAATTGACTCTCGGAACCGCGTTTAGAAATTATTTTTATGCTTGAGTGTAAAGTCCGTGATTGATGAGCAACAGGTCTCGTATATCCGTCCAGGCACTTACGCAAATAAAACGCGAGTGCCTCGCGGCGTGTATAAAAAGGGGTAAGAAAAGAAGAAGCGGGAGGCTCTTTGCTAAAGAATTTCTGAGAAAATGTCAAAGGCAAACAACCAAGGCTCTTCCCCTTCACCTCCAACGGAAAAATATATAAGTACGCGCGCACACGCGGCGTTGAAGATCAAAAAGTAAGAGTTTGAGGAAGTAGAATGCAAAAAAAGATGAAGCGGCTGAAAAATCGCTATCATAAAATCTCCCTCTCGAGCGCGAGAGATTCCCACGAGAGCGCGCATTAGCCGACGACGTGTCGCAACGAAGCGCAACGCGCGAGCTTCGAATTCATACCGATTTTTCTCTCCCCCCCGGACGTTCATTTCGTTATTTACGGGCTCCTTGAGTTGTTGCTTTGTGTATGCACGTACCTACGTGAAGTGGAGGTCGTTGTTCAATAGCCCCGAGGAGAGAGATGGGTTTGCCGATATAAAGATGCGCGGAATATATTCATACCAATAAGGACGTCCTCGTAGATTTTCAATTAATGCTAATGGGAGATCGGTATTAACAAGACCGGCGTATCGGTCGGGGCTAAGATACCAATTTGGTTTTTTGATCGAGTGACGTTGTCGGCGACACGCTGGCTGTTTAAGATAAGAAGAGATAATTTTTAATTCGTATTTAATAAACTTCGTTTGTGAAATCGTTTTAATAGAGTAAGTATATGATCTAACTGCGTTCGACAGGTATAAATGTATTTTTTTTAAAGATAATCATCGCGTGCGCCTGAGACAATGTATTCATAAATTGCACGGAAAATAAAAATCCAACCGGCCGTTTTTGCATACATGATTATAATGGGCAATAAAATCAAACTTCAAATCGATCAAACGGATTTTAGGTACAAAAACTGGAAATTGCGCAACGTGACAGGGGGCGTGGAGAGAAAACTGTATGCAAAATTTCTATTACGTAAAAGTGCGACAACTCCCCGGTTATTCAATTCCAAAAGATTCCCCACCACAATAGCCTCGTAATCGCTGTAAAATATTCTTTGGTATCAGCAAACGTGGATTAGTTGAATGTTCCTTATCAAACTCGCTTCTTGAAGTTTCCTCAAGACGCCGAGGTAAATCTCACCTGTACAAGTCGTTTTCAGTGACGATGTCCCTGATCGAGTCCTCCGGGTCGACGCGATCGGCATTGGGTCCAGGAGACCCGGGCGCCCTGGGCGTGAGCAGTCCAGGTCTGGTCCTTCCGGCAGCCGCGCTGCTCGCGCTCAGCGCACTCGCCGCGACAAGGTCGTCCTCGGAGGCCGCGGCTGCAATGAGGGTCGGTGGGGAGGGGCTACGGGCCGACGAGCCCGATCCTGGGCCCAGGAGGTCCTCGCTGCGCGAGTGGCGCATCTCGTTGTTGCGGAACAGCTGGGCCGCAGCTGCAACGCTCGGCGTTCGGAACACCACCTCGGCAGGTGTTGTCGGCGGCTTCGGTACGCCGCTGAACGTCGCCGACGACAGACCTATCAGCAGCTCCGTCATTTTTTCGGAGCTGTAAAGATTCACCTTCTACGGAGCTGTTGTTGTTTTTTTAAATGCACTGTGATTGATAATCCACACTCGCGATTTTCAACACGGCACAAACCGAATGACAGAGTCAAACTGAATCAGTGATAAAAAAAAAATTATAATAGTCAATCCTGCAACGTTGTTCGCTATGTTTTGCTGGATGTCGATATGATTTTTACTCTACGTGGACTGTAACGACGTTCTTCTTCGAGTGGCAGTCTGGACTGGAGCATCTTCGCTTCGGTGCGCTTTTACCCGTATGACACCTCACAGGGAGATGGTCATGGCTCCAGATGTGGGCCTATACAATTGTGCTATTATTCACGAACCGATGAAGCAAACGACGCTCTATATATTATAGCGCTAATATGGCCTACTTAAATAATCCTTGGTGAAGGCACTCGTCTCTCTCTCTCTCTGTTTTCGTATATCCTCAGCGCATCCCTTTTCTTCACCCCCACTACCTACTCAGTCTCGTACTTCTTCCCGCGCGTTCTTACTTTTATCGTACAAGTAGGTACTTATACTGCGTTGATTTTTTTCCCCTTTCACTAATGCCGTGAAGTTATTCAGTCTGCTATACCTATACAGCAAGCGTTCTCTCTATGTAGGTAGATTGTTTACGTAGATATACACGTATACTATAGTCACGCGTAAGAAAGATATGCAGTGTTAACTATGCACTTGCGGTCACTTGTTTCCCGTTAATGGGTTTGTATGTTATCAAACAACACATGCGCTGAAAGTCGACGCACCCATTTTGCCCTGTATACAAACAAATCTACTTGGTCGATTTTCACCTACTCACTCACACGAGAACACTGAATTAATCGCGAGACAACAGAGACACTATAATATACTTAAGTTAGTAAGGACCCTCGAGAATAGACCATTTTTTGTACTCGTTTGACGTAGGGCGAATGCAAGGGCAAATGCGACCGTTAATAACAAGTAGTAAGATGTCGTTCAGCGGAGAAGAGGCTTTCGGTCGATAACAGTATAAGCTCCCGGGCGCAGACTCCTGTTACTCTCTTTTCCGTCAGGACGACGAGCTGGACGAGATATATATCTCTATCTCCGTTGTGCAAGCAGTGCAAGTAGTATCTGCCTTACAACGGCTACATTATACACTCTGCCAGTGTGCCACCTTATCCCTGCGCCTGCTGTTGCTGCTCGGTCGCGCGTGTCTTTGGAGGAAACTGTATATAAATAAATGTATCACGCTCTCACTGCCTACACTCACAATTTACACTTTTAACGTATACACTTATCAATATTAAATGCTACCGCAATAGAAAAAATAGCACCGCCGACAGATTGCGTGTCGTGATATATTATTTTAATTTAACGTATACACTCTGGCAGGTAGTAGAAGGAAAGAATGGAAAGCGTATACTTATGTACACAACTACTCGCAATCCCACTGAACAGACGCCTCGGCGGGTATCTGACAACTAACACTACACCGTTGCCGTTGCCGCCGCCTCCTTCGCCGCTATTATACTCACCCCTCCCCCCGCCGACGCATGGTACACATTTTGAAGTTGGTGGCGCTACCGTACACACAACGAACCGTCAATTTTAAGTTTAAAATCTGGTTTAGACCAATCAGGAGACGGCTTCAGCTCTTTACTGTGGTTGTAAAACTTTTAAATTGTGATCTTTTATTGTTTTGCGTCTACCTTGGTATGCACTGCATGTACAATGTTTTACACAATTTTTTTTTTCTGCGCACGATGAAAAGTACAAAAAAAGTTATGTCCATCACTTATCGGCTGAGCAGCAGTGATTCTTATACTATATCATTTCCCTACACGCAAGTAGATGTCAGCACTTACAAAGCTGTCAAGTTAGGTTTCTTCTAAATTTTACTCGGAAGATGAGCAACTTCCAGCAGTTCCTATAATGAAACTACTATAAATAATTTACCTATTTTTGTAACAAATTTTGTAATCCTTTTGCTATATGTAATACTTACTTACCAAAAAATGAGTTTATTTTTTTTCTTCTTTTTTAACGGAACCAGGAAAGACCGGCGCGCAACTTCTTTATCATTGGAGTTTTGAGTTTTTTTAAAACTATATAATATGTATATATATATACGATGCGAAGCAGACGTCTTATCTATCCATAACAAATCGCCGTCAGTGTAAATTTTTTTTGGATCAATTTTGTTGAACAAAGTTTCGGCAATCATGGCGAGTCGAATATTCAAGCTTTTCAGCCTCGACTCGCCAAGTATGATTCAAGCCCGTCATGTTTTTACAAGAGGAAAGCCACCCTCCGAGGCACGCTCTCTCAAGCAAAGGATCAAAGGTTAATTCTGAAGCCCATTAAGTCTTGTGTACATTTGAAACTGTTTGTTTATGGATTATTTCTTTATATTTAATAGAAATAGAGTGCAAGGATCCGTCGATCCACTACAAAGTGGACATTGGCTTTACTGTCGCTAAGGTGACTGGTTCTGAGGCCAGAAAAAAGAGGCTGGCAGAGTTGAAAGCCAGAAAGCAAGACCAAGAATTGGAAAAGCAAGCTATTCACAACAAGTGTAATTTGAATGTTGTTCAATCGACATATTTTTTCGTTGTCTTGTTGTAATTGCTCGTCTTATTTTCAGTGGTCGTGGATCTAGAAAAAGTCAAAGAAGATTGGATGGAGGAAAGCTTGCCTAGTCATATCCACACCATAGCTAAACATTACGGAATATACGATGATTTGTATGGAGATGGTTACTTTTATCCTGTTGTGCCTTTAACTGTTGATTTTGACTATGGACACGACGAGCTCTTGGCTAGCGTGCACAGAGGTAATATCATCAAATCTTGCGAAGCTGTAAATGCTCCTAGTGTATCATATCAAGCTGAGCCAGATACACTGTGGACTCTTTTACTCACAACTCCTGATGGAAATCTTACTGATCCAGAGCTAGAGTATTGTCATTGGTTTGTGTAAGTTGAGTATTTTATCATTTGCTCTATTAACTTTTATTTCAAAAAATGTATATGATAAAAAATGTTTGTGTTATAGTGGCAATATACCAGGAAATGATGTAACAAAGGGAGAACAATTGATAGATTATATGAGGCCTATTCCTTCCAAAGGAATAGGATTTTGTAGGTATGTTTTTGTACTGTACAAGCAAGATAAGAAAATAGATTTTTCAGAGTACAAAAAGGAACAGCCATGGTAAGAAATGTATCAACGTTTGATCTGTTGAATAAGATGGAATATACGCGTTGCACTCATGAGTACCTTATTTTTTAGTTTAAATCTTGTCGAACGAAATTGGAAAACTTATGATTTTATGAAGAAACATCAAGATTACGTAACACCTGCTGGACTCGCATTTTTCCAAAGCGATTACGACGTGACCGTCAAAGATTTTCTTTACGACAAATTAAGTAAGAAGTTTATATCTTTTGTTGTCCAGTTTGTTTGTGAAAACGACAACAGTTTTTTCATTTATTTTCTACTTTATTTCAGACATGGAAAATCCTACGTTTGAATACGATTTTGCAAAACCAGTTCTCGCGAAACAGAAATGGTTTCCTAAAAAAGAACGTTTCAACATTTACATGGATAGATACAGAGACCCAAAGCAAATCAACAAGGAATACTTGATGAAAAAGTTGAAAAAAGAACACCCATTTAAATTCCCAGATCCACCCCTCAAGTATCCAATGGCGCATCCAATAAAAGGATACTCCCCTTCGTGGTTGAATATCGAAATTAAAAAGGAGCGCATCAGTCATGGCCGAATAAACGATTATAAATTACAGTCCGAGCACTCGTATTAAAATTAAGTGATCAACACTGTACATAAAAAATAAACCTTTGTTAATAACACACGTTAATTTTCATCTTTCGATCAATCAACTGCGCGTTTGGTTTAATCGTCCTCTCGAGTATTAGCTTCGACAATTTGTTTGCTCTTTAATTTTATGTCCACGCGAGTTAGCACATCCGCATCAACTGCTTCGTGTTCAAACTCCATGCCTGTAAGAGTGATTTTTTTTTTTTTTTCAAAATAGTTGTTCCGGCATTGCATCGATTAGTAGAACGAATCAAAAGTTTATCTACCGGTAGGCTCCGTCTCTTCCCCTCCGAATCTCAAATTTGATTGGTAATCGGCGATGTAAGTTTCGTACAAGTCTTTAGCCCTTATCGCTCTCTGCGGATTCAGCTCAAAGCTCGTAGCAGATAACATAGTCATTGCCTTCTGGGCGACTTTTTTGAGTAAAGCTATACCTAAAAATTTATTGTGTTTAAAAAAAAAATATACATCCATGGATCCCTCAATTTTGTTGGCATTGTTACTGTCAGTCTCCATGGGTTCTTCGCACGTCTTCGTCGGCAAGTCATCCCCATCCTCGTTTTCTTCAACTGGATCCATCGAGGACCTCTTATCCTTACTTTTGCCCATTTTGGCGGGTTTCACGCAGACGAGCATAGACCCCATATTTTGCAAAGCCATCATTATCTTCATCAATAATTCGCCTCGATTCTCCGCCATGTTGTTACTCTCGGCTTCTCGTTTTTTTTCCTGCTCGATCTTCTCGAGCATGGCCCCCTTTTCCGACTTGTACCTGAAAAACAAGCCAATGGCAGTGCCACATGACTATCTTTGTTGTGAAAAATCCAGGAGTAAAGTTTTCTCGGCGCAACGCGTCAATAAACAAAAAGGAAAAGAAGAAACTTGGCTTTGGAATTTTTAGAGCCCGTTGTTTCCTGAATTTTTGAAGGACCGTTAGCTCCGCAGTTTGCCCCGACGTCTGTACATTTTTCATCCCACCGCTCGGGGGAAGTAAAACTTTTAGAAAAACAAAAAGTAAGAAATCCCATGCCTCGTGGTCGTCGACACCACCGAGTGCTCCAAGTTCTGAAGCATCGTTTCGGCGTGGTTTTTCCGGTTCAGCACGTAGTTGCGCTCCTTCAGGGCTCGCTTGTACAAACTCGAGAGTCGCTCCCTCTGCTTGACCTGGTCTTCGAGTCTGGAAGCGCGAAAAATGTTTCACTTCGTTCCTTCGTTTATCCTCTCCCCAACTTTTGCCCAAACACTACTACGGCCACGCGCCTAAAGAACAGCTCCTCGTAAGAGCTTATGAGCATCGTTTCCTTCATAATGTTGAAGATTTTTTCGAATTTCTCGATCTCCGCTTGCAACTTCTTGTCGATCGCCGCGGACGGATCTTCCTTCTTTTTCGCGACATTGGTGTCGCTCTGAGCCGAAAAAAAAGTCTCACTACTGGTGCATCTCTCTATGGTAAACGCAAGTGAAAACCCATACCTCGACCCTGACGAGCGACTTGGCGTACTCCCAGACGTCCTCGGCCTTTTTCTTGGTCACCTCGAGGTTTTGCTCGCGCTCCTTCATGTTCACCCACACGTCCCGGGCCATTGCCTTGTACTTTTTGCGCACGTCGTCCAAATTCTCGGTGGCCAGTTGGCCCATCAGCGTCGTCCGGTAGATCACCTTGCACTGGTCCCGCTGGTCCACTCGCAGCGCATTCAGGACACCGTCGAAGTACTTGGAGTCCTTTTCCGGGACATGCGAGGAGGATCGGTATGTCACGTTTCTCTACATATTTTGTACTCAAAGAGCTTCGCGTCCACGTGCATTCAATAAATACATCAAATTGTTTAGCTGGATGATTTTAAGCTTTTAGGTGTACAGAGAGAGAGAACGTATTAGCATCGCCACTATTACTGATGTACCCGCACTTATATTTTAGAGCAAACAACTAGTTGGCCGCGGCCAGAATCACGTTTGACGCGAGAGACCAAGTGCCCCCGCGCAAGCCTCCGAGAAACAATCAAGCTCGACTTGGCTAATTTCGTTAATGGGCGCGTGATTGAATGGCGATTCGAGCGGTGGCCGAGGAATTAGTCGGGTACAACACGAAGAGCCCACCGCCGCTGTTATCTCGCGATTTGATGTGTTTGGTAATGGAATGACCGGCCAATCGAGGCGCAGAGCCACGTTGGTGGTTGCCGAGTAATGGGTGTACGTTCGAGCTGATGACTCATGTACGCTCTGTTAAGCTGTGAATTACCTCCGCGTGCGAGCCGGCTTGGGCACGGATATATATACTTTTATCAATTTTTTTCAAGTACATAATGTTTCCGTTGAAAAACAATTTTTCCTTCTTTGGGCATTTTTGAGTGGCTGCTGTGCCCTTATTCGGAAAAACAGTCACTCGACCCAATTATTAACAAAAATTGTTTTCATAAACAACCATGCATTTACAACTTTGAAGATTAAAACAATTCGGGGGAAAAAAAAGTCCGAGTAATTAAATAACATTTTAATTGTGTACTTGAAATTATTTCAAAAAATTTGTAAATGAATGTAATGATGAAAAAATGTTTTTCAGAAAAATGACTCCAAAGTGTAAGAATAATCCATAAGAAATGATTAGTCTGCACGCACATGTTGAAAGTCGGGGGGGGGGGTGGGAGGGGGAGTTTCGTATTGTTTCTCAAGCGATAATTTGATGAAGCCTGTATGGACCGACCTTCGTCAGAATAACGAGGATCTTGAGGTAAGTTTCGCCGATGGACTTGGCCGCGTTTCTTTTAGCCACGGCGACCTGGTAACGCGCTATCAGATCCTGCTCGCGCCGCTGCATCTGGGCCTCCCTCGCCCGCGCGGCCAACTCGTTAGCCGGCACCACGTCACCGGTCAGCTCCGCGTACTCCATCTAACGAGATTTTCCACACGATTTTTCTCACCCAACACACACGATCGGCAAACTCCTCACCTTCAATTCGCATATCTGCTCCTTCTTCTTTTCCTTCACGTAGAGCAGCTTGTCCAGCTGCTTCTTCTTCATGTTGTAGTCTTGGAATATGATGACCCGAGCTCCCTAAATTCACCACCACTAGGTACACGAGAGCTTATTTTTTTTTTTTTTTTTACGAATAATACCAGTACTCTACCGTCGGCTCGGCGTCCTGCAGTTGTCCTTGTATGTCATTGTAGCCCTGCAATATCGAGCGCACCAGCCTCTTGTCGCCGACGGCGACGTCTTTGACGATCTTACGGTACTCCTTCACGTCGCCCTTGAGCTCCTTCAGGTTCCTCGATACCTTGCGCTTCAGAGTAATCGCATTCGACGCTTGTAGCTTCTTTTCGCGCGCTGTTTGGGAACATGATTGGTTAAGCAGGTGTTGCGAGTGGTTACCGATTATTTTTTTTTTCTTTTTTTGGGGGGGTTATCGCTCGGATTATAACCTAGTCAGGCCGATTCGACGCAAAAGAGAGCGGGGTATCCGCGAAGGCGGATAATGAAGGATAAGCTCGTGAAAACGACGGAGGAAAGTATACAAATCTCTCATCGACTCGGCCTTCCTCTGCAAGTTTGGCGGAACCAAACTGGTGGTTGTTTTTTTTTTTTTTTTTCTCTTTCACGTCGAACGGGGCTTTTTGCCGTCCGATCTGAGACAAAGGAAAGGATGGACCGACCGTGGAGCTTGAGTATGGCGCGGTACTGGGAGTTTTTCTCGCGCGTGCACCACTTTTCGTTCCTCATGCCGTGCACGAGGGTCTGCTTGGCCGACAGCATTTTGCTCGGACGTCGTCTCCAATTTCTTTACCTTCGCCGCTTTTATCTTCATTAATTAAAAAAAGAAAACAAATCTTTTTATTTTTTTTTTTTGCTCAATTGACGCGTTTATGCCGGCCGAGGCGGTGCGGACTGGAAGCTTTTGGGGAGTGAGGTGGAAAAATGCGCGGATCGGCGGGAGGGGACTGAAGTTTGCTCGAGTTGGTGGTGAGCTTACGGATCGGCAGATAGGACCGAACGAGTCCAGAACTTTGTTGACCTTCGTTATTATGTAATTTTGAAAAAGAGATACGTCCGTTTGCCTCGAGTTATATTAATGAGACGATCTCGTGAATCGGATGGTCATGGCGATACCATTACAAACATGGGGTAAGAAACGAACGTATAATGTGACGTAATGGCACAAATTAATTTTCAATATATTTTGAATAATACAGGTGTGGGTGTCATTGTTATACATCTTTTTGACCTACATCCGTTTAATAAGATATTCTGCTGTGTAGAAGCGCTGCAGTAGCTCCGTTTAATTGAAACTTTGATTAAAAAACTCTCGCTGCTTATAGCCGATTATTAAAAAAACTTACCAAGTGCTCGGAAAATTAATTTCACCTCAAAGTAATGAAATCTTTGGGATCGCTTATATACATACTCTTTCTTAGCCTACGTTTCATTGATCCTCTACTTGAAATACGCATTTTTCTCCTTAATTTGTTCGGTGGATATTTCCCATTTTTTAAATGACGCATTTATCCATGTGTATATACAATAAAGGAGAAGAGAAGGTCACCCAATATCTCAACGTCCCTCGTCTTGATAGCAAAAATCTCTTCTATACGCGCAAAAATTGGTTGTCGCTCTGCAAGAAAAGAAAGCACTATATAGGCACACTACAAGTATATAATTTACCACTTTGTATGGGTGTGTGTATATACATACACGTGAATTTAAGAAGAGGAGAAGGTAAAAGGTCTTTTATAATGCAAAATATTCCTTGGATTCCACGGATTCAAAAGTTAGTTTTCTTTAAAAATGTATAGAAAACTATTCTTGTAATCTTTAAAACTGCATGGCTCAAATCAGCGTCACAGAGGCATCCCATGATAAAAGCCATAAATTTATAAGTTAATATCTTAGTTTTTAGCTGCGGTACCTATGTTGAAATTTTACTGATGTGTGAAGGACACTAAAATGTACTTATTTGCTAAGTTTCGAGAAAATCTATAGAAAATCGATTTCCTTGTCAACTACCTTAAGCACGACACTGCGCTGTTCTCGTTGTTGATTAGTGTGGTCGTTAGTAGAGTGTCGGCAAGTTTTGCAGATAATTGGATAACGAAGCAATGTTTTGCGAAAATTAATTTTGTAATGATTGTTTTTTTTAACTAAAATTGACAACAAGATATCGATAAAATCTAACATTATTTACGGATGCCATTTTATTGCACGAATGTGTACCATTAAAAAAAAATTCCACTTCTTCGAGGAAAACAAATACAACGTGGTGCATTTGGTTTATTCGTGATAAGTTGGTTTTGAGCTGCAAAACGGTGTTGGAATAGCGCCAAATTGACACATCAGCTAAGAATAAACAAATGAGGAATTTTTTATTTAAAATATTTAAAAAAAATTATGCTGACAATGCCTTTTTTTCAATAAAGCAAGAGACCATAGTTCAAATAGAATCATGGGTCACAAAAGATAAAAGATCTTAATAAGTCCAAGGAAATTAAAGTTGGGCCAAGGGATTTACGATTGAGTTGCCAATCCAATTAAGTGCGAGATTTCTTCATAAAAAAATCGGAATCGCACAAAACTAATTGAATTGAGCATTACGTTACGTGCCATTGATTTTACTCCCACGCATATAAAAATTTAACTTCGAATACAAACGATATTTTTTGATGGATTTTTTTTCTGCTGTTAATAATTATTTGAAGAGTTTGATACACGTAGCAAATTTTCAGTAATTTTATCAAAAAATAAATTCTTTCGAGGCCATTGGTAAGTACAAAGAAAATGGAAAGATATACTAACAAGTTTTATTGAATAAAAAATAATACGATATTATTTATAATGTCTAAGTTTTTTTTTTTTTTTTTACAATATAGATAAAATTCCTGAGTAGCGTAAGTTACATTGTCATCAAGTTCTTTGCAAGTAAATTTAACTTAAAAGTAGCACAAGTTCAAACTCTTGGCCTCCAATATTAATTTTCCGCACAAAAGAGAATTTACTACCATCGCACGGAAAAGTCCTTTGACAGCATTGAATCCATAAATAATATACATCCGCATACGTCAAAGGTGAGAGTTTGTCGTTTCCATCCCATTTACTGTTCATTACCGACGAAAAAAGTGTCCATGTCCTCTGCGCTATTCTTTCTGTCTTTGCTGACTTGTTTTTCCTTTCTCACTTTGTTTCCGTCAATTGAATCTACGCACACGAAAAATGTGCGCTTCATTAGAGCCTTTATTCTATTTAACATCGCTTTCTTTGTTTTTTTGGACAATACCGTCATTCGCATGAAGTAGTGATTTCTATGAATCTGTTGTTCTTTACACTGCGAACATTTTGCAGAGTACCCTCCAAATTGAATTTGATTTATTTCCCACATCACAAGTGGGGACCTGTGATGTTTTGGCAAAAGGACTCTTGGCTCTTCCTTCACTTTTCCGTTCATTACGCATAAATTGTTCGCTCAAAAAAAAAGGTATTATTGCGAAAAAAAGAAAAAAAAGAAAAAAACATCACAAGTTCGTCGTCAGTTGATCGGCCACTCTCGGCACAGCTCGAGGGATTGCCTTAATTTGTCGAGGTCTAATCGACGGCTCTTACGAAAAACAACGGAACTCAGAAATTCCAACGTTATTTTAAATGGGAAAATCTGAGTTACGTTGATTTTCGTAAGAGCCGTCGAAAATGGTACCGCTTCTACCGATATTGGCCGATTAGGGCCGATGGAGCCAATATAGGTACACTGCCACTGCGGCAGAGGCCAGTCTCGTACACGCCGTCGAGTTGGCTCCTTTTCCCAATGGGAAAACGCACTGCAGGAGATTAATAGCGATTACAACATGGACGGGTACGGTGGAAATTACCGTGGTGCCGGTAGTCATGTACACACCACCGCCATGTATTTACAGCTGGGCGACTTTTTGAACCTGTGCTACCCCCCGCCAATGATACTCCTCGGTTTCTTGGGAAACCTTTTGTCGGGCTTGGTCTTCATGAGCAAACAGATGCGAGTTAGGAGCTCCAGTTACTATCTGGCGGCTCTCGCGTTCGCCGATATTGGTTTTCTCTCGTGGTTCCTGATCAACTGGTTGAACTTCTATCTTAGCTTAAGGGTCTTTGACTGGCCTGGATTCTGCGAGGTTGCGATATACATACGCTCGGTCTGCGTGAGCTTGAGCGCATGGCTAAAAGTCGCCTTCACTGTCGAGCGTTTCGTCGCTGTCCTGTACCCACTACACCGGCCGCAGATCTGCACTGCTCGTCGGGCCCAACATATAGTTCTGACGTTGGTGGCTCTCGCCCTCGTAAGTCACTCGTATTGCATCGTCACCTTGAATCCTGTTAACTTCGACCCCTGGATCACCATGTGCAAAACGAAGAATAATTATCTTAAAACGATGTACATCGTCAATATCGTCAACGACCTCGTTAACCTCGTCGGGCCCATCGTCCTCGTCGCCGTCATGAACACCTGCATCTGGTTGAAGTTTTCGCGCTCCGGGAAGCCCTTTGCCTATGGCCATCAGCAGCAGAACTTGGAGCTTCAGAGCCAGCCACAGCAGATGCCACAGGGCAGCCAAATTTATAACATACCAAAATCGGTTTCCTCCACCACCCGTGAGTCTCTGGTTCCTTTTTTTTTTTTTTTTTTTTTTTTTTTTTTTTTTTTAACCACTTTCTTTTTCTCCAGAAATCGGACCGTCGTTGCAGGACCTTGAATCCACGTGCAACGAGCATAACACAACGAAAATGCTACTCCTCGTCAGCACCGCATTCGTCATACTCGGTTTACCGAGGTAGTCCTCTTCTTTGTGTTTTTCGTCAATTGTCACGAATATTTTTTCTTCACGAATAAAAAATATTCTTTTCGCAGATACTTGACAAATCTGAAACTGTTTGTCTCTTGGTATGGGCCCATGCAGGTCTTGGATTTTCAGATAATAACCATGATTCTCTACTACACGAATTTCAGCATCAATTTTTTTATCTACTTGATGTGGGGAGTCACGTTTAGGAGGTGCCTGTGGCAACTCTTGTGCTGTTAGTTCAAAAGACTTAAAAAATACTGTTTTTCAAACACTTCATCGGTGATTTGTAAAAATAATTGTGTGAACGTATTGGATGATTTTAATTTAAAAAATACTTGTATATATATTCTAGAAAATAAGAAGAAACGTATCAAACAAAGACTAAAAACTTGGATATCTTAATAAGTCCAAGGAAATTAAAGTTGGGCCAAGGGATTTACGATTGAGTTGCCAATCCAATTAAGTGCGAGATTTCTTCATAAAAAAATCGGAATCGCACAAAACTAATTGAATTGAGCATTACGTTACGTGCCATTGATTTTACTCCCACGCATATAAAAATTTAACTTCGAATACAAACGATATTTTTTGATGGATTTTTTTTCTGCTGTTAATAATTATTTGAAGAGTTTGATACACGTAGCAAATTTTCAGTAATTTTATCAAAAAATAAATTCTTTCGAGGCCATTGGTAAGTACAAAGAAAATGGAAAGATATACTAACAAGTTTTATTGAATAAAAAATAATACGATATTATTTATAATGTCTAAGTTTTTTTTTTTTTTTTCACAATATAGATAAAATTCCTGAGTAGCGTAAGTTACATTGTCATCAAGTTCTTTGCAAGTAAATTTAACTTAAAAGTAGCACAAGTTCAAACTCTTGGCCTCCAATATTAATTTTCCGCACAAAAGAGAATTTACTACCATCGCACGGAAAAGTCCTTTGACAGCATTGAATCCATAAATAATATACATCCGCATACGTCAAAGGTGAGAGTTTGTCGTTTCCATCCCATTTACTGTTCATTACCGACGAAAAAAGTGTCCATGTCCTCTGCGCTATTCTTTCTGTCTTTGCTGACTTGTTTTTCCTTTCTCACTTTGTTTCCGTCAATTGAATCTACGCACACGAAAAATGTGCGCTTCATTAGAGCCTTTATTCTATTTAACATCGCTTTCTTTGTTTTTTTGGACAATACCGTCATTCGCATGAAGTAGTGATTTCTATGAATCTGTTGTTCTTTACACTGCGAACATTTTGCAGAGTACCCTCCAAATTGAATTTGATTTATTTCCCACATCACAAGTGGGGACCTGTGATGTTTTGGCAAAAGGACTCTTGGCTCTTCCTTCACTTTTCCGTTCATTACGCATAAATTGTTCGCTCAAAAAAAAAGGTATTATTGCGAAAAAAAGAAAAAAAAGAAAAAAACATCACAAGTTCGTCGTCAGTTGATCGGCCACTCTCGGCACAGCTCGAGGGATTGCCTTAATTTGTCGAGGTCTAATCGACGGCTCTTACGAAAAACAACGGAACTCAGAAATTCCAACGTTATTTTAAATGGGAAAATCTGAGTTACGTTGATTTTCGTAAGAGCCGTCGAAAATGGTACCGCTTCTACCGATATTGGCCGATTAGGGCCGATGGAGCCAATATAGGTACACTGCCACTGCGGCAGAGGCCAGTCTCGTACACGCCGTCGAGTTGGCTCCTTTTCCCAATGGGAAAACGCACTGCAGGAGATTAATAGCGATTACAACATGGACGGGTACGGTGGAAATTACCGTGGTGCCGGTAGTCATGTACACACCACCGCCATGTATTTACAGCTGGGCGACTTTTTGAACCTGTGCTACCCCCCGCCAATGATACTCCTCGGTTTCTTGGGAAACCTTTTGTCGGGCTTGGTCTTCATGAGCAAACAGATGCGAGTTAGGAGCTCCAGTTACTATCTGGCGGCTCTCGCGTTCGCCGATATTGGTTTTCTCTCGTGGTTCCTGATCAACTGGTTGAACTTCTATCTTAGCTTAAGGGTCTTTGACTGGCCTGGATTCTGCGAGGTTGCGATATACATACGCTCGGTCTGCGTGAGCTTGAGCGCATGGCTAAAAGTCGCCTTCACTGTCGAGCGTTTCGTCGCTGTCCTGTACCCACTACACCGGCCGCAGATCTGCACTGCTCGTCGGGCCCAACATATAGTTCTGACGTTGGTGGCTCTCGCCCTCGTAAGTCACTCGTATTGCATCGTCACCTTGAATCCTGTTAACTTCGACCCCTGGATCACCATGTGCAAAACGAAGAATAATTATCTTAAAACGATGTACATCGTCAATATCGTCAACGACCTCGTTAACCTCGTCGGGCCCATCGTCCTCGTCGCCGTCATGAACACCTGCATCTGGTTGAAGTTTTCGCGCTCCGGGAAGCCCTTTGCCTATGGCCATCAGCAGCAGAACTTGGAGCTTCAGAGCCAGCCACAGCAGATGCCACAGGGCAGCCAAATTTATAACATACCAAAATCGGTTTCCTCCACCACCCGTGAGTCTCTGGTTCCTTTTTTTTTTTTTTTTTTTTTTTTTTTTTTTTTTTTTTTTTTTTTTTTTTTTTTT